TATATATATGTGAAGAGATGTAGAGAATATAATTATATTGTTCTTAAACTATTGCTACATTCTTATACTTAGCCTTTCGACTAGTTTCTCCTTGAAGTTCCTATTTGGGTTTCTAGTTTAGAAGGTTACGCGTGTCGTCATGGGCTAATGATCTATTACTTTATTACTTCATTAACCGATTTGGTTAATTTCACAGATCATCTTTTTGCCGATTATTGTATCATTGATTCTTGTAGATCAATTCACATAATGATCATTTGCAGATCACTTTACTGCGTCACATTTCTAATTTTCTAAAGATTATTTGGGTTACAATGGTAAAGCGTTATTTTAGAAGTGATTGATTGCAACTTTTTTAATTTTATCAGAATCCAAGGTGAAATGTTTAGAGCTATCATTATTATTGATAAAAACACGATCTAAAGTAATTTTCATCTTTTTCTTTTATAAAATAGAATCAATCATTCTACCAGGTTGAGACTATAATTGATCACATTTTTTTTCAATGAGTGTTTTGATTTGTGCATCAGTATTTTTCTTCGCATCAATTTTGGTAAGCTTATATAAGACTTTATAGATGCTATTAAGAGATTTTTTGACATTTCTAACATTTGATGAATTAATAAAAAGAGGTAAGGGATCCAAAGGATATGAAATATCTTTGATAATGATAGCAATAATATTTAGGTTACACTTTCATTCATTACCAATAGGCCATAGACATTCTAATATTCTTTTAGAACAAAATTTTAAAAGAATTTTTTCAATCTTGGTAAGTGAAGAATAATATTTAAAAAGCTTTTTTGGTTTAGGTACACGATCTTGTGAAGAAATCCATTTATGAGGGATTTTGGAATTATTAATGGCTAATACAGCTTGTTTTAATTCCATCCACAGATTATTCATATCGGTATAGTTTGGTTTAAGATTTTTCAAATAATCAAAGTGGTAGTTGTTGTAATAGGTATTAGAATATTCAGCAAATCTTATCCAATTTGAGAAATTCATGGATTTAAGAAGAGGAATCTTTCTTTTAGTATTATTGATCCTTGAATGAGCTTGAGATTCATGCTATATATCAGAGAAATAAGCAATAACAATCTCATGATCTGAATTATAGAGGTACAAATGAACTATATTACAATAGAGAAAGTCAGAAATAAGATTCTGAAAAGTAAAGATTGCATCAATTCAACTGAAAGTATTTGATCTTTTATACGTAGATAAGGGTGTATCATAACATAAGTCATATAAGTCCAAGAAATTTCTGAGTACTAGGCCATGTACAAGATCATACTTCCAAGGAATAGTTTTACTAGAATCAATGATACATTGTAATTTGTTCAGATTTGCATTGAAATCATCCATAATGATAATATGAAACCTGATTTTAAACTATTATCTATAAGCCATAGTAGTGTTGTTTGTAAGACTTTCCTTTCTTTAGATTCTGTAACATGGATTTAAATTGAGAAAACTCTTAATTTAATATTGCCTTTTAGATATAAATCCACGTAAATATAATGATCATTATCCAAGAATTTTTTCGTAATATTTTTAGATTAAGATTTGCTAATAAGTAGATCAACACCTAAAAACCTATTAGAGATAGAACTCCACAGTGTATCAAAATTGGGATCAAAAGACATCTGTATAATTGTGATAACTGATGTCAAGTTTCAGATAAAGCAACAAAGTTAATGTTCTTTTGAAAAAATGTATTGAGTATCTTGCTATTTTTAATATCATCTCGAAGAGAATGAACATTATGAGTAGCAAAGGTAAGAGTGTTTCAATTTAAAATTAAGCTTCTATCATCACTATGTAAATTTTCTAAATCGTTATCTATGATAAGTGAAAATTGATCACATGATGAAAGTAAATTAAAAGGAAAAGGAACATTATTATTTGTCAATAGTGAATAGTTTTATTAATATTAATATCAGTTGGGGATATATTGGGTAACAAAATATTAATCATTGTATTAATCATTTAAAGAATGTAAATAAGAAGTGTATCTAATTTTGAGATTGGCTAGTATTCATCGCAAATTGTTCAATTTGTTTGAATATTCTGTTTATCTGTCTTTTTTTGTTCAGCATAAATGCAGCTTGTTCATTCATAATACTGGTCAGGTCAGATTTTGGGATCAAAATTGGTAAAGTTGAAGAATTATTACTTGAAAATTCAGCAATATAAGATCTTTTATTAGATGTATCTTGTGATCTTGGTGATGGTTGAGAAACATGTGAAACAATTAATGGATCTTTTTCTTTACTGATAATAGGTGAAGGAATTACTGTAGATGCAATTGAAGAAAAAATCTGAAGAGATTCCAGCTTGGCGATTCTAGCATCTAATTCATTCATATCATTTTTTATGTTAAAGAGAATTGAAAGAATCTGATCCAATTTATTATTGATTTCATTATTCAGATTGTAAATAGAATCCTTCACAGTTAGTTTGATAACATTATTTAGTGATGAAGTTAGAGGAGTATTCTTATTCTTGATGGCCTCTGAATATGATTTAGAAGAACGGTTAGATCGATTAGAATCAACAAATTTTTTAAAACCAGCAGGTTTAAATTTGTTATAAAGTTTTTGCATTAAGTTGTTTTAAAAAGTAGATTTAGATTTTGGTTGATCTTCATTATCATTTGATGGGGCAGGGTTTTTTTGTAAATAGAGATATTGCATAACTAGATGTGCTAGATTATCATATTTGTGACAACTTCTAGCATTAGGAGAATACCAAATCAATTGATTATTTCCAAAAGCAAAATGTTGTTGTATTATATGATTGAGAGCTTCTTTACTTTCAAAATGTAAGATAACAAAAGAACAAGACTTGTAGTTGTTAGATCTTAGGATATAACTAGCTTTGGCTTTGGTTGCAAGAATTATATTATAAAAATCTCTTGCAGTAGTTCCAAAAGGAAGATTTGTTAGTTTGATGCAAATTGACATGAACAGAATCATTTTGGACAAATCGGCTTCACACTTGATAAAATAATTTGATACATTTGGATTTTCATAAATAATATAAGTATGTTATCATATGCCTCTTACTGTTATTCTAAAATCAGTAACTGTCCTATATTTAGTGAAAACTTGTTTGATGTTGGCAGGTTTCAATTGCAATAGAATGTTAGTAACATGAATAGTTCTTTCATTAAATTGCATATTAGCTTTGTATTGGGTGAAATCACAGAAAGAATCAATCTTCAGATCAGGGATAGTTATGTGAAGAGCTGTGATAACTGCATCTAACGTCACAAAATAGACAATTATAGAATATGTCAAATTAACGTGATGGACAGATACTTTTTTAAAGTCATCATTTTGAGTGAAAATATTGTTAATAGCAAGGATAATTTTGCTATTGTTCTTTTCTTTAAGGATAAACTTGATACTAGCGACTGTAAAGGGAGTAGCTTTGGTAAAAACGGTAAAATCTTTTAAGTTTTCTTTCATATTATTATCTTTGAAATGTCTAAAAGTTTAGATCTATCTTTGGATGAGAAGGAAATTTAGCGGTGTTGTAAACATTCATATTATTGTTATTATTGTTATTCAGGATCAGAATAACTGTTGAAATTTTATTGATAGTGGCAATTTTAGATATGTCAAAAGTTTTAAACTCCATTTCTTTATTTAGAAGTGAGCCAAAAACTTCTTATACAATTTTTAAATCAAGGTTGGTAGGAACAGAAGTTGAGGTTGAAGAAGACGAAGGAGTTGGAGTAAAACTAACAACTTCCTTTGAAGCTTTTGAAGTGACATATAGAATAAACTTAGAGTCACTGTTTTATTGTTTCGCAATGCTTTTACGCGTCATAACTCTCTCGCATAAGATAGAAGGTAAGGTAATACAAAGAAATCTTCTTTATACTGGGTTTATTAATTAATTTTTTATTAAAAACAAACTTTTAAATTTTTTATTTTTCTATGAAAATTTTGGTTTTGTAAAATATGGGAAAGAGTTTTTTTTAGTCTAATTTTTTTTTTTTTTTTTTTATTGATATGGCTCTGCCAACTATTTTATTAAGATTTATAGATCTTTCCAAAGAAAATAAAAGAAATTACAAGTAATGAAAAAACAAAACAAAATAAAAACTATCTAATAATTTAGATTAAATGTTAGCTACCTTCTGATAATAGAATATGTAAATATACCTATCTGTCTAGGTCAACCTATCATCATCAATTCCCTTCTTTAGACCCAAAGAGACTAGCCCAATGACTACTAAAATTATCAAGAAAAGAAAAAGAACATGTCAGAACTGATTTAAAAATCTGACTATTTATATCTATTTGTAAAAGTAAGTTAAATCCATAACTTCCAAGTGTTAGTTGGAGCTATGCTATTATTGTAAGATAAATGTTTGCATTTCTTCTTCATATTTTTCATATTAGAAGTGATATGTTTTGATAATTTTTTGACATTCATAAGAGAGCAGCGATATGACTAAATTTCATTGAATAGTCGTTCATAAAGAACAACAATTGCTTTTGTGAGAATCCTATTTGTTTTTTAGACAATCGAATCAGATTCGTAAGATTATCAAATAATGAAAAAGGCAATTTTCCTTGAATAATAGGTAGAAAGGAGCTTATCCTGTCTATTGGGTAAGCAAAGTGTTTATTTAGGGGATGATGAGATTGAAGTAAAGAGAGAAGAAGAATAGTATTTTGAAGTTAAGTTAATAATCTGAGACTTAATGTCAGAGATAATAATATTGATTTTGATAAATAAGCATCACATAATCATAAATGATCAGCTGTCTCTGTAGTTAAATTACATTCAATGCAGTTCCAGTTTTTATACAAATTTGGTCTCAGTTTTTCTAATCTAGAAAGTGTAGGCAATTCTCCTAAGAATATTTTCATTATAAAGGAATAAAGTTTTCGTTGTCGAAAGGAAGTTGAATAGGTAGCCTGATCTAATGTAAAGATAGACCATATTGTCATTCAATGAACTTTTGCCTGTCAGTAGCGGCAAAAATATTTTTTGTAAAGTGTCTCACTGATGATTCAATAATAATGTCATTAAATTGAAATAAACATATAATAGAAGGGACTTTAAGATAGTTGATAAAAATTTCTGGTGATTGTGTTCCTGATTTGGCCAGATCATCAGCAATATTATTATAAATATCACCACTGTGTCCTTTGACTTTAATGAGTATAACACTAAGGTTTGAATAATCTACAATAAATTTGATAGTCTTCCAGAGAATGTAGACACTTTTTCAAATGTTCGAACAGAAAGATTATTATTAGAGATATAAGAGCTAAAGCCATAGATAGTAGCCATACTATCAGTGAATAAAGTGATTTTGAAATTATTTGAAGAAACAATCAATGTAGTGAGAAGTGCAAAGAGAAGAAACCCAATTGGTTACAGAAGTACGAAAGGATTGTTGTTAATTCAAACATATCTAGCCTATTCCCATTCTACAATTATCACAATTATCAGAAGTAGGATGTATTAAAGAACCATCTGTATAAAATGATATGGAAAGAGCAGAAGAGAGTGAAAGAGCTATCTCTGAAAGATGAACAATATATTGTGGTTCGTTGATAAGTTGAGATATAAGTAATGATGTAAATCTATCTTAATAAGATGTGAGAATGATCAAGGAAGCTTTAAATTTTACACAGAAAATGAGTTCAAATGAAGATAGACAAAGAGAGTTTTTTAACGTAACTTTCTAATGTTATTTTTTGCCTATAATATCTATTTTAACAATATTTTGAAATGGAACTTTGGACACACATTTTTTTTTATCATTCAAGGACATCAGTAAATTTAATAGGGTGTAATATTGCGTAAACTTACATTCCGTAATATTATGAAAACTTACGAGGCCGCTGTAAGATTACGTAAATTATATATTCGTAATATTCCGTAATATTACGATGTAGTACTACATAATATTATAGAATGTAAACTATGCGAAAGTTTACGGCGTAGTACTTCGTAACATTACGGTGTAATATTATGTAGAACTTACGAAAATACAAGAATTTCGA